AGCTGAGTTTTACACATATCTCAGCATTGCTTAAAATATTTCTGTTCACCATGCAATAAGATCAGCTTTTGAAGACATTTTCACGTTTTCCTCAGTGGCTCAGATTAAAGCAAATTTGAAGTAATCGTGTGGAAAAAGAAATGTAGTATAGCCGAAAACGTAGCCGAAATCAAAATTATTACTTTTCTTTTTCATAAACTTCGAGGACATTCTAAACATGCTACCTATTTGAGATAAATTAACTAAGTCCATAGTCCAGAAGAAGGAATTGACATAGAGGTACGACATTCCCATATTTCATAAGTGTTTTAACTCTACTTAATTTGTAACAAGCACTCTCAACCTGACACTAGGAGAAAAAAATTCCTTCTAGGCAAAGTTATCACAGCTCTTCTGTGAAGACGGAGAAAAATTTAATTGGAATTAGCTACTCGACTTCATTCGGCATTCGTAAAAAGTTTACATGGTCGATAAATCCTCTGAGCAAATAACGCTTTCGTTTTGTCATTCATAGAACAGCTACCAGAATTTATTACTCGCCCGGTTTGGACATTCTCGTTAACGAACTCTGAAAGAAATTTATAGTTTTACCCACTATGAAGATGACCACTGTAACGGGACGCGCACAGTGGCAGAAAAATTTTCCAGAAGCACTTTTGATTCGATTTAAGTGCAGCTGTAAATAGAGAGTTCTAACTAAATACGATTTTCATGCTGTTGTAGGCTGAACAGCACTTTCGTGAACGAAAGCACCAATGTTGTTGCTATCCATGCACAAGCGTTAGCACTGTATTCAATGAAGTTCTTCGTAGTGATTTTCTAGTTCGATTGAGCAACATTTGGTTTAAACGTTGGATGATGTGAAAAAATTATAGATTTTCTCAAAAACTCAAATACTGAGAGGATCGATTCAAGCTCTGTTAGGAAGATGAATGAATTGAATCTTCACTATACGTACTGTACAATTGCAAATTGCTTTTAAGGGGACTGTGAGAAACCGCGAGAAATTGACGACGCTGCATAAACATCCGTCTTTATTAGATGCTTCGAACGTTCAGAAAAGTGACTAAGGAATGCTCAGCTCAGTATCGCTACGTCGCACTCTCTATATCGTCCACTTCCTTGCTCATCTTGTAGCAATTCCAACAAACCAAGAATTCTTTTGTCTTAACAGAGAACCTAATGCCTCAATGTAGTTCATTTATCTCATGGGCGATTCAGAAAACGGGAGGCGCTTATAAAATTATCAGAGACTAAAGAATGTGAATTCCGTTTCTTCGATATTTGTAAATCTTGCACCAAAAGTTATTCTTCGTCTTATCAAACAAAAATTTTCTCGACAGATTTTTCTTGAACATGCATTTGTAATAAGCCTCTCGTCGACCATGGGTTTTTTATGTCTGGGAAATGATGGGAAACCAGAGCTGTAGCATCTGAGGAGCTAAACTATGCACTAATTTTTGCTTTGGTGATCGCTTCCATATTTTCGGCTCTCATTCGGATAGACGATTCATCTCATTTATCACTTTTCAGACTTTCGGTTAGCAAAATGTGCCACTATTTTCGTTTCCAAAAATTTAGCAAAATCAAATAGGTTGGGGTACATAATTATCGTCTGAAGCCAAAAAGCTACAACAGCACCTGCTTCGCTGACTTACTCACCTAAATATCTTGTTTGCTAAATCCGGTATTGCCTATTAATAACGAAGTTCGAAGTTAATAGATTATTATCATTCGGATCCGTACTACTTACTATGCCCTGTAGAACCTATAAATGAATCGTCTTACACACACGATGCGTCTTCCAACCCTTCTGACTTCGCTGCTCGCCACACTCGTGGCAGTGTTTGGATGTGGGGTGATACCACAAGGACAAGGTAATGGATAGAAAATCTTTTTGGTCAGTACAGAAATTCACTTTTCAAATAAAGCGCTCCAAAATGCAATCTCGAGAACAGCCAGACTGGCGCGTTCGTTATTTACTGCCCGAGAGGCGCCGGTTAGGGATCAACCCCGCACGGCGCATCATCAACCATTCGGTCACGGATGCCTATTTAGATTATATAATACTAATCTATCTACATTCGCTACTTATAGTCTGATACTTTATCACCTACATCAAAACTACTTATATCCAACACTTCATGAAACATATGCTCTATCGAAATCTAAATGTAATGATGAAAAGATTTTGAGTAATCAATAGCGGGAGAAGAAAAAGTTAGGTGTTTTAGAATTGATCACAACAGAGTGATAGGTTTTCAGATTTTACAAAAAAAAAAACAATGAAACTATGTTGCAGCGAGGACTACAAGCTTCACTGTGGCTGGATTTCAATTGCCGGTGGTCATGGTTTCTACTAGTTTAGCTAGCGCTCCAGCACAGTTCCCTGGAACTGCAACGACTCCAAGGGCCGTAAAGTCATTTGTGATGCGTATCATAATGCAAACACTAAGTTGACAGCTCTTAGATCTCAAGTTTTGCTTGCGATTCCGAGTGAGGTGCAAAGGTGAGTTGCCAATATGGTTCGACATAAATCAGCAAGGTCGTAGCGCAGGCCTCCATGATGGTATAATCTCAATGATTTTGAGTCAGCTCACTGTTCAGATCAGTTACGCTCCTCTGGAATGCAAGACCGTAAATGCTTTTCAACCAGGAATGAGTAGGTTTTGAACTTCTAACATCAGCTCGTGGAATTCACATACGGCCTGTAGAGTACATCGCCCTCAAATTCTTCCGGACTTTATCCCACTGAATGTGCAACTGCGAGTGTAATATGAGGAGTTAATTCTGAAATTGTTTGTTGTTTACAAGTTTCAAGTGCTCTGGAGGTAGTACACACCTTAGATACTTGTACCATCACACTACACACTATTGTTATTGAATATTAATATTGATTGAGAGTGATACTACCGTCTTCATGATAACAGATCTATTTGATACGCATAGCGCACACGCACATTAGTCAACTGTCAGCAATGATGACCTAGGGAGAACTTAATAGTGGAGATAGCAAAGGGAATGAACCAACCAATATTTAGCAACATTAGTGACGATGAACAAAAACCTTAAGCGTGAGTAGAATTTGAGAGAAAATTTGTAAGCAGTAGTTGATGAAGTATTAAAGGCAAGTGGAATATTGAAAATGCGAGAATAGAACTGAGATGTCAGATCGCGTAGAAAGTGGCTAGTAGTGCACTCACGAACTGCTTACGTTTATCCTACATCACTTGTCGTCGCTCCATCCTTCCCATGCAAAACAGCTTAAATAAGGGAAGACATTTGAGCCTAACACTAATATTTTTCATAAACAAAGGTCATGGTAAGTGAAATCCGCCGGTCAAGGCGAAGATGCTAGTTGGCAAAATTTTTTGGGAGAATGCGGTAGACCATGAAGCAATGAAGGGCTCATATCTCAATTCTATAAAAGCAATGCCTGTAGAGGTAAACTCTGCAAACGGTCTATCAAAATAGGGGTCGACAAAGAAAAACAGTCGAATGCAAAGGCATGATTGATTTTACAAGCCGTGAGAGCTCGGCGGTTGGTCTCTGCGATGTCGAGGGATTTCAACACTTGACATGCGGTGACTTAGTCGGCCTTGATTTTTTGCATGTAGGGGTTTATACTCTGCAAGGGATTGACTAAACCGAAAGGACCGTGATACTGATGAGGCTGCAATGCCGAAACACGTGTCCAGAATTGTATAAGTGCCATAACAGACTGATAGGCTTAAGATATCATATTAATAAAATCAATCTTATTCTATATAGGTGGAGAATTTTGCCCTAATCTTGTCCACACAAATTCACGTCATTTGAACCACAATTCAGATCGCTTCAATCAAACAATTTAGAAACTTTGTGTATGTTAGAGAAGCAGTAAGAACAGATATGCTAATGTGTAAACTGAAAGTATAGCTTGATTCACTGAACATTCTTATCCTTATTCCATTATTAGTACTCCTTTGCATAGCTCATTATATTATACAATACCAAGAAATAGGGTAAGACGAAAGAGATACTAACAAACGTGCTCCCCGTATCTCTCTGATCTTCTGTTGCCAGCAAAATTGAACGAAAATGCTTGCAGCCAAAGGAGTAGCGATGAATATGCAACCACACTGTCTCGTCGTCGGCAGCACGGTCACGGCCTTATGCAAAGAGACGAATGCGCAAACTAATTGCATGGGCATGATGATAACATCTATTCCAGCGAATCAAACGTCAATCACAAGAACTCTGACGGTTTGAAATATTCACTTTTTACACAAACTCGTTTCGAAGAAATTCCATTCAGACTACAAATTTTGTCATGACAAATTGGTCGAAAGAGATGTGGCAAAATGTACTAAACAGAGCGGTTCGAATGCTGGCATCAGGTCCCTTTGGATTGCACTTCTTGACGGCATTTGCAACCGTCAACTAAAACGTGAACCTAATTGTGAAGTGTTTGGAATAGTCTATGCATTTATTTGACCTTTGCCCGCTACAGTCTTACAACATCAATAAACTATTAATCACAATTGATTAGACTGCTGTGAAAAGGAAACTGAATTTATAACGCAAATAATCGTTTGAGAAATTCATATAAGTGGGTTGACTTCACTTACAGGAACGCCCAAAAATTTTTTGTACGTTCTCAAATGGAAAATCCGTCATGCCCATATGGAAGCTTTTCAAAAATTGTACTCAAACGCGCTCACGGGGCTTTCGTTAAGCGGCCATTTTTGGAGGCATAAAATTGATTAGATAGTGTTGAACGAACACCAAATCTTCTGATATCTTCTTATCCATTTTCCACATTTCCATTCTCCTTCATCCATCAGTCCTAATCAACAATTAATGTCATGGCTTGAAAAAAACATTATCCACATTTTGGATGCTAATAAAGTGTCATGAATGATATGTTCTTTGCGAAAACAATTTTCACGTCCGTTGTAAAATATGAGTAACAAAAATGAATGCGGTATGTAAATCTTCCATATGGTAGCAAGGCGGTGGCCTCGATGGTGTAGTGGTATCACGCGCTCCTCGTATGGATGAAACGGAGGATCGACGTCCGCCTAAAGTCGAGTATTGCGCTTACCACTCAACAGTTCTAGGAGTACAATGAAAGCATCATATCACTGCTGAAAAGCAGTTAAACAGAAATTTTGTTAGGAGTATGGATATTCGAAAGTTGTCAGTGACTAAATTCACTTCTGATATGTGCTCAGCAGAGCAAGCTCTTCAAAGTTTGGAATGAGAATTATGATGATTTATATCGAAGAAAAAGCAGCAAACTCGTGGCCTCTGTGAAGTAATGGTAGCACGCGCTCCGGAATGCTGGAGCGCGAGTTCAATTTCTGACTGGAGCCGACGGTTTTGCATACCACTAAACAGTTTCGGGCCTATAGTTGCATCATCACATCACTGCTAAAAAGCAGTTAAATGAATAAATCGCTCAAGATCGAACACCGCTGAAAGTAGTTAAACAGAGAAATTGTTAATATCCTCCATATCAAAAGTCATCAGCTTAACTGATTTACAGGATGGTATGTGCTTAGCAGACCAAACTTTATAAAGTTTCGCTATTGACAACTATGATGGTTCATCTCAAAGAGTAGCAAATCCGTGGCCTTGCTGGTGTAATGATAGCAGACGCTTTGGTATGGATGAAGTGCAAGTTCAATATCCTCCTAGAGCCTACGGTATTGCATATCACCAAACAGTATTAAGCCTATACATCATTAATGCCTTTGTGTTGCAGTAGTTAGAGGTGCTGTACGTCGCACACAAAGTCCATAGTTCGATCTCGCGCTCATGAATCATCAAGGCATCTATTCCTCCGGAATCGGTAAATTAGTGCCATATAGTCTCATATTGTCTGGGAGGATGGCAGCACCGACTCGATGCAGCGAAAAGCCACTGCAGGTAATTCATTCTTAAGGTCAGATGTGCATTCGATTGCCTCAAACGAGGTTAAAAAATTGAAGACGAATGCATGGCGCAACCCTCAGGGGCCGATCAACACTAAAATCTTAATCCTCTTAGAGCTTTAAATACAACATCAAAAACGCTACTAAAAAAACAGTAAAACAGAAAAATCACTTCAAAGCGAAAACGAACAAATCTAACTTCTTTTAAAATTGGAGAATGGCTTACAAAGTAGTCCTTTGAAAACACTGTTCGAAATTTTTGACTATCGATGCCATTTTTTATACTCTCGTCTTAACGTTAACAAGCCGTGCTGAAGTATTTTGAACATCAGTTGTAGAGTTTGTGGCGATCATATTTGTTGTGCTCCATCGCTGTCTTCCTGTTGTAGAATGCACCTGTACATTGTTGTTAGTCTTAGCATGTCTAGAAGGCGTGTCAATTATCAGAAGTCGAACTGCAAGACGGCACACTGTCTTGACTGCACTGAAAAACCAATAATCTTATTAGGGTCTCATACTTTTCATCTGCTTTTTTTTCTCAAAATACTAGCACTTTGTTTGTATGAAAATCATTCAAAACATGATGCCTATAGAAAATCTAATCACAACATTGCATAGTTTCATCAAGGCTGGGAGTGCTCCTGGGTGGCGAACTCTGGGTTCAGCAAGAACAAATAGAGATCTGAAGAGAGAGTGGTAGCAAAGCGGTGGTTCGGTGGTGTAGAGTAACACGCGCCTCCGGTAAGAGTGAAGTGAGGGTTCAACTTCCGGGCACGGTCGAATTTTCAAGTGCGACTCAATATTCGTAAATAGATAAAGGTTGATAAACGGAAAGAGTCGCAACGAAACAGAAATTTCATGAACAGAATTTTTTTGCGATCAGTAGTATGAAACGAGATGATAAAAAATATCAAATATCTGGAGAACATAAAGTCTGATAACATGATGACATGTTTGAGCCCTGTTACGAGGTCTGATAAGAGTAGTTACATAGCGCTAGAGAGGCGCCTGCTTCGTCCTTTTGAATTCCTCAGTAGTACAGTCTCCCTTGGTTCACGTGATCTATGCCTGCATAAAGGAATCGACGCCGAGCAGTAGATCACATCTAGTCAAATGACAAACTTACCTGACTTGCAGTGACCACAGTCGATAATAATATAATAATGCGGATAATAGAATGAATCATACTCTACTCTTGACCGCTATACAGACCTCACTCAAAGCAGTGATAGTCTGATAACATGATAACATGTATCACAAGCACAAAGTCTGTACAAGGCAAAAACATGAGTGGACTTGAAGATAATGTTCTCAAGAGGAGATGCAGATAACATAACTTTTACCTTTGTAAAGCTCACGAATTATCTTCACGTAAGAAAATTTTGCTATGTTTAACATTTACATTTGATGGCCAATTAACTCTTTACGAGCGGTAGTATAATCGACATCGCAAGCGGTGCGTGCGTAACTTCCGCTGTTCAATGGGATTTTTTTCTTTGTTTCGAGAAAAACTCCAGGTTCTAGCATTACTATGGTGAAATATGATTTTCTCTACAAGCTCAAAAACTTTTTGAATATATGACTCTATGCACGATGAAAACTCTAAATGTGAAACATAATCTTATTTTTACCATTAAAGCGCACTTTTGAAGATCTTTTCAAGTACCAGATATAAATTTCGAATAATCGAAATTTGCGCTATGATATGAATGTTAATAAACAGTGAGACACATCTCAACCGAGCAAAAAGCAAGCTGAGTGCGAAACAATTTGCTTTTTGCTGCTGCAGCGTAATAAGAAGGAAATTTCAAAAAACAAGCACAGATTCGGAACCGCTGAGATTAGAGCTTTGAAATGACTGCTATCTACATTGAACTATTTGTACAGCGAAAAAAAGATCTTGAGAAGTTGGGGGGGTCAAAAGGCCCCTCATCGTCCGCAAGGAGTTAATGAGATGAAGATCAAAGGACACCTACTAATGCTTTGTGATTTAGGCGAACCTCTTTCATTCTGATAATCCGAGCCACCTCAAAGCAGAGTCACATCAATCAGCTGCTTTACAGTAGCTCCAGAAGCCACCACGACAAGTACGCTTTCCAACATTTTTCAAAGAGAAACAGTACTGTATTCAATGTCACATGACTGATAGAGCTATGAACTCTTTTACACCGAATTCTGACAAAAACTTGACAATTCCATACATTACAGCTTCAAGTAACGAATTTCAACAACCTATGACGCCAGTTAAGATGCTTGGAGGCATGATTGGTTTCATTTTTGTCTCATAAATTACGCTTCCCCATTAAGAATGTGTAGTTATCAAAAGGCACAATTGCTCTTTGTTACTAAAAAAGTTTTTTGTATTAATTTCTTCGTCGATAATATTCATTTTTGTAACAATGAAGTATCTTCGAAGTCTAACCTTTACAATTCATAAATGCTATTAAATCCAATGTAAAGATCAAATAATAGGCAAATTCATCCGAAGGCAAAACGCAATTTTCTCTTCAGTATTTGAGCTCACTAAGAGGAGTTTTCAAGAAAGCAGGCTTATCGTTAGAATTACGCTTTTCGAGTTATCGAATTTTTGCAGAAAGTCTTGTGAATAACTATTGTTAGACGAAAAAAGGCTCATAAATACTAGCACCTTCTATAGACCGCAGCCATCCCCAAATGGGTGTCAGCCATTTTGGTAGTGTTTCATTTCCTCAGAAGGCATACATCTGCATAAAGTATCAGGTTTTAGATAGACTAAGATGTGCGATTTGTGAGACTTACCCAGTGCAAGTATTTCAGTTGAGTACGACATATAGGTGAAAATCCCGAAATGAAAAATTTTTCGGGAAGAAAGGAGGTAAGTGTTTGAGATCACGGTGAGACCACAATCAGTTTTTGCTATGGATTTATTTGTCCAACTACAAGCTACAGAATACCTGGAATCAAATCAGGAAACCGTCAAAAACACAGAACTTCTCCTATAATCGAACCAAAGTATGGTGAGAATTATTCTAAACTATAAGAAATTTTCATAATAATGTTGACTGATTTGAACAACTTTGAGTTTTGAGCTGGATTTGAACACACCTTTCAATCTTTTCGAGGCGATACACAACCGGCGCTACATTCTGCCCTCACTCTTTCTTCGACACAACTGCATCAATCTGTTACTACCAAGTCGTGAACGGTAGTCGGTAGTGAGATGGTTAGCACGCGAGCTCGGAAAGAGTGAAATGAGAGTTCAAGTCTCGCCTGACTTCCGAAGTTTTGTATCGCTCAACGCTATTGGATTTTATTCGTAAACATCATACAACCGTTTGAAGCGGTCAAGTAGAGAGAATTCTGTGCGCAATATGAGCCAATAGTAACATATATGGGCAGGACTGATATGTCGAATAAAAATGAGAACAAAGTAAAAAACCAACAATAGTTCTGAGAGACATAAACAATCCAAACTGGATTTGAAATTTCTCGCCTTTTTCAGAAATGGTATGATTAACTGCTTGCGTTCCACGTTTATTTTGTGTGCGGTGTGCGGCGAGCGCAGCTCTTTACGATGGCAGTATGGTAGTTGCCCAATGAATTTGGATTCTTGTCGTCACTAAAAAAAGTTTAATCGTCAGTAACAGAGAAAATATGATAGAAGCGATTTCAATAAAACTATATTTGGCTGGAACGTGTCAAAATAATCATAGAACAACGAAACGCTCTCCAAAGGTTGCACACTGCATCCAAACTGCACATTGTAATACGATGCGATTTCAGCGGTAATTCGAAAAAATTCTCTAGAAATTATAGAGTTGTGAAAGAGACTATGCTCCATTGTGATATGGTTACAATTATAAATCCACTTGCACTCTATTTGAATATCGTCTCAGCGTCTCAACCTGGAAGCGCTGCCAATGCTCTTTCTAAACAGCATATTATTGAAATGGAAACCAAGATGCTTACTAGAAAATCACATTTTGGACTCTTATGGAATGCTTTCATGTATTCTTACATTTATCCACATTTCACTCTCGTTGATCATTCGATTTCAGAAAGCAGTCAGTGCTTGCATAGGATGGGAAGCAAAAGTAGCTTTCCTAAATTTGGTTTTGCAAATAACCAATTCTTATGATAATAAAAATGCAGCTTCTCGAAATAGGTTTGGGGAGCCTCTTTAG